TAATCGTATTTACATAATTATATACAGATATTTTATATCAAAATATAAACTTTCGACAAAATGTCAAGTTTTTAAAAATACTTTTAGTTTGAGATCTTAATAAGCTAAAATTAAATATCTCTATGGTATCAAAGAGTAATTAATCTCTCATTTATATTGTTTCAATTAGTTCATCCTCGATATCTTCAATTTGATTCGCTTCTCGTCTAAAACGGAAACCAACAGATCCGCCAACCATGGGTTCTATTCTACGACCGTTTGCACCTTGTTGAAGATCCACGAAACCATTAACGAAACCATTCTTGCCTAATTTTTTTTCAGCTTCAAAACGGAAGTGCGGCTTTGTGTGTCGACGCGCTTCTCTTCTCCAGCGAAATCCACCGAAATTCTGGGGGAAATGACTGTACGCACCTGGTGTGAAGGTATAAACATTCAAATAATCGTTTTCATCTACTAGATGCATATCGTTCAATTGGGTATTAAGCTGTGACTCAGATCCGGAAACAACATTGGTATCTTCACTGATATCGTCGATTGTATGTTTGTTGTCAAAGAGATGAAGTTTTTCATCGGCTTTGAAGAATAATTGCGGAGTATCTTCTAAGTTATCCTTTAAGATCGAGTCCTGAGAATCGACCTCTCGACGAAATCGTTGTGGGATCGTCTGAATAACATTTAATAAAACATAAAATTATAATTATAAAACCATATTTATAAAACTGAATGTATGTTTCTGATATTTTTAAATTGTGATTTCAAATAATTTTGCAAAAATATTTTTAAATGATAAGATTTTCGGAACAAAACATGACAAATAATTTTTAAACAATGATAAAATTTTTAAATATTTTATATAATTTTTAAATAATAATAGAATTTATTGAAAACGATTCGATGTATATAAAGCACAAAAAATTCATAGTTATGAGTATTGGAAAACGTACAATTATTTAATAATAAATGAAAAAAAAGGAGAAAATTACGTATATATTCTGTTAAAACTATCAATTTGAAAAGATATTTACAAATATTTTGGTGTCAGTTGGCCAATATTGTCCTTTCTTTTTGGCAGCTGTATACGCAATGATGCAAGATAAGGCCAAAATGAGACCAAGCAGCTTCATCTTGATTAGTAATTAAAAAAGAGACTGAAAGACTAGACTGATAAGTTGCACTGAGCACACACTGCGACTGTGTCAAACGAGAGAAGGCTGAATGCTTAAATACGGCTTAACATTTTTACGTTTACGTCACATTCTCGCGGGACATTACCATCTCTTTATTTTTATAGCTTTTGTTTCGTAGCAGCAGACAGCTGCTGCGTTCAATGCCTTCGCGAAACAGAATGAGGGATTCCCGGTTCTCAATTTCTCTCTCTGAAGTGACACTTCTGTGTGACCTCCCGCTTCGATTACGTAGCTTGCTCAGTCGTGTTATTTTTCTTATCGTTATCTCGCCGTTTCGATAATATATGCATATAAACATTTAAGCACATATTTACATAATTTTATATTTATAATATCGTTTATTTCTGTATATAAAACTTTTACAGAAAATAAAAATTCATACATTTTCTAATATTTATATCAAATGTAATTCAAATAAAAATCGGAACACACGAAGTCTCAAGTCTAATAACTTTTGTTTTTAAATATATAATATTTGGAATTTTACTTTAAAGATTGATAATAAAAACAATATTTTTTTTTAATGGAAATATAAACATCTCACAGATACAAAGAATAGAGTAAAACAATATCTTAAAAATTTTTTCTGAATATTAATATGAAAGCTAACAATAAATATATAATGTATAAAAATATATTCATAATAATGTTCATTCATGTTATTTCTTTTATTCATGTCATTTTTTCAATTCATGTTATATTTGTATCAGCAACTATTTACTTAAATTATCTAAATCTGTTATTATATCTATTATACCTAAATAAAAGATACATAGAAAAATTTGTACATGACAAATTCACATTTTAATCTACTTGTACATTTGTATGACATAAATGAAACAGAAAGACTATTAGTCATAGTATTGGAAGTACAGGTGTTACTTGTGTACAACTACTGCAATCGGAAGCTTGAGACATCAGGAAAATACGTTCTAAAAGATCGGGTAGTGAAAGCATTGCCATCTGCTGCACGAGGGTTTCCCGGCGCGAGCGTCACGTGAGCTTAACTTACAGGCACTCTGGATCTTTTACTGGGGTATTACCCAGAGAGATAACTGATGTAACAGGAAATTCAAGTACATCCCCGGGAGACTGAAATTCGTATATAAGCGACCGAGACTGGGCGAAGAGGCATCAGAAGTCGTTTCGCACTTCAAGTGAAAACATTTCGTACTTTCACAGACAAATAGTGTCGCCATGAAGCTATTAGCTTTTCTCTTGGCCTTATCGTGCGCTATCGTATACACGAGCGCTGATTTGTCAGGGACGAAATTACCGTTACAATCGACTGGTCCGGTTCTACCATCACATGTAAGTAATTGATTGCTATTTATTACTGAAATAAACTAAAATTAAAATCTATAACTTTACTTTAAATGCGAGTTCATACTTAAAGCAACTCTTAAAATTTTCTTTCTTTGTTCATATTTGTATGAGTATTAAAGTATGAGTATTGTATGAGTTGAGTATTAAAATATCTAAATATTAAAAAATAACATAGTAAAATAAACTTTAAATAACTCTTTAATGATTTGTCCGTGAACATTAAATATTGTTTGCTTGACGTCTACCGTGACGAACTGATGATACGTGACTATGCATTCATTATAGATTATTATACTATAATTATCTTGCATTTCTCATAACTTACAAGAATACTTATCGCATTTAAAAATTATTAAATCAGTATTTTTTACTTTGAAAAGAATCTTTATAAGATACTTTTGAATGATTTCTATTATTTCTATATACATTTGTATATATAACATATTAATAAATAAATATCTTTAGAAATATGCTATTTAGAAATATATAGTAGAATTTTCAAAGATGTTGATCTTTTTTTATATAGGAATCGCGTTTCCCTCGGCAAGCTCGTAATGATCGCACAACGGTGGACGTTTACGCAGGATTCAATAAAGTGCCTGGACAACCTTTGAGTGGTTCAAAGCGTCGACCTACTTGGGATCTTAATGTTAATCATAATATTGCAAACAATGACCGCACAACTGTAGATGTCTATGGAGGAGTGAATAAAGTACCTGGACAACGAGCACAATCGCATGTTGGCATCCAAGCTGAAAAGAACTTTGGCAAAAATGGTTTCATCAGAGGTAATGGTCAACTTCAGTCAGGTCCAAGAGGTCATGGTGTCTCTCCCTCAGTTGGTATAACTGGTGGCTTCCGATTCAAGAGAGAGGCTGAACCTCAAGGAACTTCATTAAGCTTTCACGGAACGCAACCTCTGAGTGGTCCAATGCGTCAACCTACTTGGGATCTTAATGTTAATCGTAATATTGCAAACAATGGCCGTACAACTGCAGATGTCTATGGTGGATTAAATAAAGTGCCTGGACAACGAGTGCAGCCGCATGTCGGCATCCAAGCTGAAAGGACCTTTGGTAATAACGGTTTCATCAGAGGTCATGGTCAACTTCAGCCAGGTCCAAGAGGTCATGGTGTCTCTCCCTCAGTTGGTATAACTGGTGGCTTCCGATTCAAGAGAGAGGCCGAACCTCAAGGAACTTCATTAAGCTTTCACGGAACGCAACCTCTGAGTGGTCCAATGCGTCAACCTACTTGGGATCTTAATGTTAATCGTAATATTGCAAACAATGGCCGTACAACTGCAGATGTCTATGGTGGATTAAATAAAGTGCCTGGACAACGAGTGCAGCCGCATGTCGGCATCCAAGCTGAAAGGACCTTTGGTAATAATGGTTTCATCAGAGGTCATGGTCAACTTCAGCCAGGTCCAAGAGGTCATGGTGTCTCTCCTTCAGTTGGTATAACTGGTGGTTTCCGATTCAAGAGAGAAACTGAAGATGTTGATGAAATAGAACCCATTAAAGAGTATTAAAAGTTCCAGGCTTAAAATGGCTTGTATATGTAGATAAATTTATTTTGAAAAACTGTCGTTTAAGATAATTTTTCTTTAAATTATAAACTTATATTTATTTATATTTAAATATGTATTATTTGTCATATTATATTTACAGATTACGATATTTGAGACTATTTTGTGAAATATATAATAAATGTATATTTGGTGATATTTTTTAAATAAATAAAATTTTATCAAAATATTTTCTTTTCATACTTATATACTTATTTTATCCACTTTTCAAAAATTTCAAGCTTAATTATTTATTTCAAAAGTGTGTAAGACCAATTTCATAGAATAATTTTTGATTTATGATTGATATTTAAGTTTATTATGTTTTTAAGTACATTATGTGTTTAAGTACATTATGTTTTTAATTTTTATTATTTGCAGAATAAACTGATCATAATTGCCGAAGTGGCATCTAAGCAAACACTTGACCGTATCAAATTGTATCCAATGTCACCAAACAATGTCGAATCTTGCGTGTAACTTGCAGGTTCAAACGATGAACAAATCCAATAAGTCTCGACAAGCGTGACAAAAGCATCTAGTTTTTTCGTAAGGGATCTGAGAACACGACGATTAAACATTTTCGCCTGTGCACTAGGAACAGCAGTCATTCTGCACGTGGCCACTTGGACAATGGGCGGATACAGGGGAAAGCAGGCGATATATACCCTCCTGGTATCTAATAGCTGGGCATTAAATTTGTCAGTGATATTGCCGGAGGGAGTCGCTCTTGCCCTTGCCCTCTTCGGATCATGAATGGAGCGGGACAACTGAAATATGCCGCCGCTCGTACTTTCATCCCCTCATGATGTCGCAAGGGGTGCAGAAATAAATGCTGGACAATAGGAAGCGAATGTAGAGACACCGCTCGCATATATCCCCACGCTTTAAGATGTTCTTTTTCACCACATACGAGCTAGTCGAAAAATTAGCATGATCTACTTGGTGATGGCGTCATACTCGAAAAATGAATAAAGATTTAAAACTGTAAAAAGATCTCTGGAAATTTATTAACTTATATTTTAGAAATAAATATTAAAAAATTTCAAAAATCTCTAAAATGTACGAGTATTAAAATATAAAAATAATAATAAATTATAAACAACAATCTTCTCTTGTTCGTTGAAAATAATTTTACAATATTCTGAATAAAGAATCTTTTAAGAAAAATGAACAAGTCTCAAATCTCAAGAAAATAACTTCGCGATAAAGAGCAAGTATTAACTCTGGCCTCCAACTCGATCCGATTTACAGTATCCTCAGTAAATAGTGTTTGAATTGCATATCGAATTATTTCAAGAAATTTACCCGAACAAATCGCCGAAGAAAGACACCGCGATCCAGGGATGCTGCGAACCGCGTTTTTTGATAGATGGGCAGCGGCGGTCTCTCGCCGTCCCACGAAAGAGGATTGTCAAGAACGTCGAAATAGCAAATTAGGAAATTCCAAGAGAATCCATCTCTTTTTTTCTCATTCCCACGATTTGTCCTTACCTTTAATCTTCTTTTGTCATATAATGTTTTTTAGAATGTTTTTTAGAATTAGATTATAATAAACGCCATATAAATATTTGATACATATATTGTCATAATCTAATTTAAATTTAATTTTAATAATAAGTAAAAAATATTTTTAATTATTTTTAATACATCATTTTTTTATATGTTAAATCACACATGATTTCATATATTCCTTGTCATATCGGTTCAGAATTAAGGATTAACAAGGCAATAAATATAAATGTGGTGATGATATTAGGGAATGAATGTAATGAGAAAAGACAACTTGGAGAGACAGCTTTATTGTTGCAACGACTAACAATATATCACTAGTACAACAGTAGCGCTGATTCAACCATGAAGATTGCGAGTCACTTATAATCTCAACCACGGCGTGACAGGATCGATTAATCATCCGTGCTCTCATTAAAACGTCCAAAAGAAAAGCTTAACATTCAAATGCAATACGATGGTGAGGATTTTTGGAAAAAAGAAAATAGAATCCTCAAAATATAATTACAATTCTACCAATCGTAAGATGCATTCTCATTGTGATGTCTTTTGTTCCTCGTTACTGCTCTTTGTCCCTTGCTCCTTTTTTTCCTTTTCTTCATCTTCCTGCTCCAAATATTTGTCCCATTTCTCTAAACGCGCTTCAATTTCCGCATCAGTCTCTGTAATTCTGAAGAGTACATTTCGATATATTGACAACTACATCTTAAATCTCAAATGAATGTATAAATGAATAAATTATGTATAAATTGCAATTAATATCTGCAATCATTATATAATATTTATGCTGATTGACTCAGTAGGTTTTACCAGCAATGAATAGTTTGAATATAACGAGACATTCAATTTCTATTCAATTAGACAGATGTTAAGCGAAATATGTTTCGATAACAACACATATAGTACCATAATAAATTATATTTTTTATAATTCTGTTTTTTGTTATAAGAGTGACGTATAAAATATGATACAGGAATGGTTGCACAAGCCTGATTCAGATGCCTGCATCAGCAACTACCGGTAGTATTGGCCCTCAAGCCGGTACGGTAGGAATCAGCAATGGAGTAAACTTACTTGTACTTGGTCTTGCCGTCCCAGATCTCTGCCGAGATCTTCCTCTGACTGAACCAACGGCCGTTTAGAAGCTGCACGCAAGCTTGCGCCTCAGCCGGTTCTCGGAATGTAACTTGCGCTACTCCTTCGGGATGTCTCTGAAGAGAAAAACAAATACAGGATGATCCATAGACGTGCGAACCAAATATCACATTCCAAATTGTTCGATTCTACTGAATCAACAATTCTATTGTCTCAACAAATTGAATTGTTTTGTTAGATATAATATATTAATGTTAGAAAATACTTAAAAAAATATTTAAAATAACTTAATAAAAATTCATTATTTTATAAATTCTATACTATATTGTTACATAAATAATTTTATACTACAAAAATTTAATTAAAATTTACTGTATTAATTTACTGTAATTAAAATTGTTTAATTTCCTGTTGCTGAATAATCTAGACTGTAGATAGATCTACAGTCCAATTGATTTATAAGTATTTTCATATCCGCGATATTTTTTTTATATATTTTATACAGATTTCTTTGTAGGTTGCATTTAGTTATATACAATCCAATATTTAATAAAGCAAAATTTATACACAAACAAATTTATAAACAAATTAATCTGTTTTATTTCTAATATCAATAATTTAAATTATATACTTTGTTTCGTCTCATTTACAAAAAATCGCAATAATTAGTTTAAAATTTCGTAAAATGAATATCCTTTGATCCCTTCTAAAAAAACCATATTTTATTTTACAAGCTCGACAGCAAAAGGCTATGATTCACTGAAAACACATTGGCGGTAACACGTGCTCCAAGGGTGAAAAAAATGAGATGCCTATGGTAAATTAGGTAGCAGAACATGAAATGTCACGCCTAGCTTTTAGAGTAAATCTTATTTCTCATTTAGCATCCAAGAGAAAAAAGAGATGTAATAAAATTAGAGATTATATTGAGTTTCGTAGATTTCTTTTTTGCTTTATAAAAATTGATCAGAACAGAGTCAATTACAGAAAATTTGCATTCATATAATCTTTTAACATATGTTTTATATCAATTCACATTTAATTGTGTAAAAATTGTGACATTTTATTTAATAAAATAAAATCTATATATAAGTCTATATATATCTAATATAACTAATAATTAGTTATTTTATTATTTTATTTCTAATATCAATAATCTGACGAAAAAATCCGTCGCTAATGCGACGCAGCTTCTAAACTCATATTCTTCTTTTCTTACAAAGGAAAGGAAAGGAACTTCGCAGAACTTATATAATATTTTTTAGTATTATATAAAATACGAATAAAGATTGTTGAAATAATATATAAATATTATTAAAGAAAATATTATAACAAGGAACTAAAATATAGATACAAAGTATGAGGATAATAAACATAAACACTTAAACAAAGAAGAAAAAGAAATAGAAATCAGCAAAAAAAAAGGGGAAATACACGTCGTCACGATGGAATGCGCTTTGACATTGAATAGTTTCACGGCTGAGGCGTAAAGACTGGGAGTGTCTTGCCTCTCGTCAATTTATGGGGGTTAGGGGCAACCCTCTTCGAAGGCGTTTCTTTACTCGTCTATTCCGTGAAATTCAGCTGCTAAAAATACGGTGCTTAGAGGGGAGCCGATCACTTTGAACTCGAAAGAGTGACGACAATCTTAAATAAAAAATTATCTACAATTCATTTGCAATACATGATTTCCCGATAGCCATAGTAAAGTATCATAAGAAATTTTTAATAATCGATATACAAATCTAATAGTATTTATAACATAGAACTGGGGAATAAAGAAGATAAAAAAACTCACGTCATAGATAACAACTTTTCTGACATCACCGCATTTCAGGCACTCGGATCTGATATCCTGCTGGTATTCCAAGAGCAGCTGGACCTCTTTGTCGAAATCCTCCGGTGTAAAAAGATTCTTTATGACGACGACCCTTTCGCATTTCAGCGGTTCGCCCCGCATGCGCTCCGGTCGCCAATCGAACAATCTGCAAACAAATGAATGAAGGCATAGAAATGATGAGACACAAGCATCGCGTTTAGATTCATCGTAAATGTTGCCTTTGATTGCAAGTCTATGTGCACATAATCTTATCGATAAATAATTTCTAAACTATTAAGAATTTATTTTTAAACTAATTATTTTTATTGACAAAGATATCAGTGAACTGATAGAATTTCTACATCTCTCTTCTACATTCTCCACGCGATGCAGTATCGACTCACTGCTATCGTTGGAGGAAGTGACATTTCTCGAAGATCAAAGATGCCGACAAACGTCGCTGATACAGCACAAATTGCCGGCACAGTACCGAATAATCGATGATCGAGAACAACTCGTCAAAGCTGTAAGAATAATCGCGATGATCGATAGATCGTGGCTCACGATTCTTCTTCTCAGAATTGCTCGAGAAAATGATGTCGATGGGGAACGTTTATACTGCCAACGTAGATTCGCAACGAGTGTCGAAAGAGCGTGCTGCTGCAAAGACTACTTCCGGCCGATAAACGTGGGCCCGTGCGTTCACCAATAACTGGTTTTCACAAAGTTCAGGGCGTTGACCCTGCGCACGCGACCTACGCCGGATAACGAGATGATGCTGCTAACGATGAAGACGACAGAAATGCGTCACGATTGAGCAATACAAATATGAAATATGATGAAGCGAAGATATCGGAGAGAAATCAATTTCAAAGATAAATCACGTAGAAAGAAGCGATATATCATAAAACAATATCGTAAAACAATGTATTCAAAATCCCAACATCATGTTATCATTATAATCATTTTTAGATTTTATTAGGTTTATTATTATTTTAATTTATTTCAAATCTGCACGAGATCATCGTAAATGTGTGTGTGTGTGTGTTAAATAATATGTGTGTATAATAACTGCATCTCTTCTTTAATCACGCAAGAGATATTCGATATCGCTTTCGTCACTCGTGTGAAAGAGTTATTATACAATGAAACGCGCGCGCGTTTCATTGTATAATTACAAAGTCAATGTCATTCAATGCAATCATACGCTTCGATTAACGGGTTAAGTCGCCGCAATTCTCCCTGGAAGTGTGCTGTGCCCGTATAATTTTGGGCTGGCCTGTATGCAGCCTGGCGGACTAAATGCGGGTAATCGCGACGTGCGCAGCTGCCTTTGCCGGAACCGCCAACGCCAAGCAGTCTGGCGGCTGCGAACGCGGAGCCGATGGCAGTGCAATTATAAGGAATCTTTACACACACACACCGCAACACGTGTTACGAGACACGCATCGCGGAGATACACCGAGGGGTTTTTTTTTCTTAATTATACGGTATCATAAAATCACGCGAACAACGCGCTTCGTGATTCGAAGGCATCTCCTCTCGCGCTGTCTTAAATCGAGCTCCTTGCGACACGCGTTGCATCGCGGTGCGTAGAAACCTTAATAAGATGCACACGCGGATGCACCGTGGATGAAACGTATCTTGATCCTCGGGGTATACACCGTCTCGCATGGACGCGAACGAAAAGAGAGATGAATGGATCGGAGAAACCGAGGAGAAACGCGACCATCTCGATTTTGCAATGCGAATCACCGGGCACGGTTATGGAGCGTCTTGAGAGGAAGTGACATCACGCTTTAAGTCAATGCGTTATGGGACAAGCGAATTTTCAGGGATAAATATCTATTTGACACAAATACATACAGCTCTATATATATATATATATATATATTCGAATGTTAATTAATTTACCTGTTTTAACGCACGCATAAAGAGATTTATGAAAGAGAGTCATGAAATTTATACAAACTTACTTTTCTTGCATTTTTTTCTGTCGGTCCTTGTCCTTTTTTTTCCGCTTCGGTTTCAACGCGGGGTCATATGCGCCCTTCATCTGAAACTTTGCTCTCTGAACCGACAACGTTTTTCCCCGGATTTGCGAGCCGTCTAAAATTTTCAGCGCCAGATCCACAGACTCAACCTACAAAAACAAATATTAAATAACTGAGAATAAGTTGCGGTATAGTTAAATATTATCCGAGATTCAACGAGTAGAAACGTCGTGTTATTCGGAAAATTTTTGTGCATCTTGTACCAAAAGTAATTAACGCAGGACACAAAAGAGGCGGCGTTAATAGGCTGCAGTTCCTAGTTATTGTGTCAAAGTAATGGAGTGATATTGTTACCTGACAATGTGTTCGTGATAAAGTTGATGATAAGTCCTTAGCAATATTCACGATCAATTTAAATACGTTTCATTAGCCGGCTACGCCCATAACAATCACTGATTTTACGCCGAAAAAACAAATTTCAACTTACATGTAAAAGGTTTGGCCATGGATTATATGAAGTGGGCGTGCTCTCTATTCAGTAGCCATTTAATTAAGTCGATCGGACCTTTTATGCAACTTGATTTTTCGAACGAATTTAGTTTGCATAATTCAAATTTTTTTCAATTATTACGAAAATATCAACTCGCAAACAAGTGGTTCACGTAAAATATTTAACGCTCTTTCGTTTTCTTCGGGAATTGTTTGAAGATACTTTTAAAAACTTTCGCCAAGTTTTATTATGTGGAAAAGAAAAATATTGGATCTAACTTTAGCAGTCATCTAACTTTAGCAAAAGAAATAGAAAAATTGTGCTTTTAAAGATCAGAAGATTAGAGATTAGAAGGCTGAAATTAAACATGATTTCTAAATTTAAGCCGACAATCAGGGCTTATATCGCCAAAACTAAGTTATATTTCTTGATGGCTTCAAAGAAATTTCAGGGGCTCTTGTATATGGACAAGTCGTAAAAACCTAAATAATTTATCGTTTACCTATATCTGAGTGCTACACATATTTAAGTATATACGTATAAACGATCGACTATATCCGCAAACATTCTAAGAATTATTTTCAGCCGTTACGCCATCGTTCGTGTTTTAAGCATTAGATATGTCAAAAAGCGTATAATATATGTATCAGAAATAGCGAAATCGTTCCAGCGGCCAATGGTGTCACGCTTATTTACAAAACCCGTAAAACATGAGCGGCTTAGCGCCATTTTAACCGTGACTTCATACCATTCATAGACAGACCTATAAATAGAACAGGAAGTACGTATTTGCCATCTGTCTCCGTTCTTCGAGGAAAGGTATAATAAAGGCAAATAAGAGTATTTTTTTTATACATAATGGAAATTTCCGGGGAAGAGAAAGGCTTGACGAGATAAAATTCTGCCGTTCCTGAATTGGTGGATGAACACGTCGGGACATCCTGCATAATGCAACGGCTGGTCCTTGTTTTATATGCATTTGGCGTGATAATACGCGATGAAGCAACACGTGACTAGAATGGCGACTGTCTAAAATATGCACACGGAGCGATGTCGTGACGACGGATGACGTAAGGATCTCCCAGACAAGTCTCCCTTGTAACGATGACCTAAAAAATAGGTTCCCTGCTATGCTCGATATCTCGAGGAGATCAAGACACCGAGCGGAGAATATTCTGGGAAGTATTCAAAGGCGTTCATAATGATTTACCGTCGACCCACTTAGGCGAAATTCTTAGATTCGAAACGATCCCCGCTGCCTCCTACCCTACTGTCGTCCGAACCGCTGAAAATAAGAAATAATTCGAAATAAAGAATAATTCCTCGTGAAATTACTACAGATCGAAAATTTACGGCTGTTTCGTATAGCCGTATGATCTTCGTGAGGAGAGTTACGCAAGGAAAAACATAACGGTTACGAATTTTGATGCTTGTTATTCATCACTCATGTAAGAATTTTTTAGATTCAAGGATATCCGACACGAGAAACAAGAGTCGCGTAAACACACCTTAAGAACCTGCAGACATAAAGGGCCTCGCCGTTCCTTTCATGCATCATCCTGTTCCATTCATGCAACACCCACGCGCCAGACAGCTTCAAGGCTCCATTCTTTTTCTTTTAACACGTCTCGCTTTCGCGTAGCCCTTAACTGGTGAGACGCGAACGGAAAGCGACGTGCCTGTTGACGTCATCATCTCCGCACGGGACTTGCAAAAGTGATTTCAATCAGGAGATCCCCTTTACTCGATACCTATCGCGTGATCTGTCCCACGTCACGAGATCACCATTATTTCTCACCGCAGCTGTTGCTGTTAAATTCTGATACACGCCAAGGTATTTACGCAACGTCAGGGAAGTGGTATCACGCAATTCGTAATAATTATTTTCCCGTATTAAGGTCAGTTTCTCGGAAAGGCCTGATTTAAATAAGAATTCCGCTAAGCAAGATTAAGGAGAAAGCACAGTTATCCGTGCGTCGAGCAGATAACGCGAAATGAAATGGTAATCCGCACGGTCGACAAGGTAGACATAGATCATCGTTGTTGTTCGCGCGTAAACGCCCAGCGGTGATTAAAATGCCGGTTTCATGGATACGATTTCAGCCTTTCCAGACCCGTGACTCGGCCGTGATAGTTACCAATGGGATTTTTCGACTTATTGTCAGACCCCTCGGCCCACCCAGATGCAGGCTCCCGCGCGGTCATCTCGCAACACGGCCACACGTTAGATCACTGCAATTACAGCATACTCTCTCGCATCCAGTTCATGTTAAATTACACGCGTCCTCCTCCAGTCCTCGGCGTAACACACGTAACGCACGTCGCGGTCATCAGCGACGCAGTCACGTGTCTTGGAAGAGATATTCTCGGACAAGGATATTCAAATTCATCGTGATCTTTCCACTTGTTAACATTTACAAGCGGCGTATATAAATGTCGTAGTTAAAGTGTGCGTCCATTAAGGATTTTCGCATTTTATGACTGTCCGTCTACGTGCTAATTAGTTCTCTAGTTTCCCTTCTGTATAGTTACAGTTACAACGTACTAAGAATACATAAATTAGACAATTACGTGACTGCTTGCGAAGGTGCTTCCCGATAAGATAAGCTTCTTCGAATGCAAACAACGCGGTGTGATTTCTTCAATGACTAATGCCCGCGATTAATTTTACCGCGTTATACGTGATAACATATCGAAAAATTCAAAAAATTTATAAAACAATTAAACGAAGAATATCGAACTGCATTATCTCGGTAAACATAGTAAAAAACACTTTGTATTTGTGTTAAAATCGGTCCTTGTTAAAATTTTTGTGTTAAATAACTTACATATTTATATGTAAATTTAACATATGTCTACTATGTTAACTCAGCTTAACAAATATAAAATATAAAATTATTAAAATGATTTAAGAAATGTGTTAAAATAACACAATTCGTACGTATTTATTCAATATGTTAAAATTTACACAAAAAAAATATTGGTTTTACTCTATAACAGGAGTGGGGATGACTTGTTATTATTCTTTGTGTAGTTTCGGCACAGTCTTGAATTTTGATGTCTCGACATGTTATTTTATCATAAAAATTATGTTAATTGTAACACACAATTAATTTCAAATTAAGATCAAGAGTACATTTCTTTTTTGTTGAAATATTAACATAGTGTCGGTGTTATTATTTTTAACACATCCATATTATGTTAAATTAACACAAAATTTTGAGTGGACCGTTTGGGACATGCGATTTATATTAAATTCAACACATTTTTTTCCAACAGTGTACGAGATGCTGAATGCAAAACGATATATTTGTACAAGATAGCATCTAATATATTCATTTATCTACGTGTAATGTTGATTAATGATAGACGACAAGATTTCGAGGCGCCATGGATCATCATTATTGCGAAATGTCGTGTTTCTAGCATGCTTCGGAATGAATACTGACGTTCCCTCTAAACAACTATAGTTAGCCGACGTCTATTATCATTACTGTATTGGCGCCCGGCCAAATTTCTCGCCGAGATGCATTAAATACTATGGCCGCGCGCGTGACGTGACAATTCATTAAAACATTCAAGAGCAGAATTAGAAAAAATATTTTCCTTCCGGAAACCTTTTACCTAATCGATTGTATAAATAATAGGGAAGAGACGTCTTCATCGATCATCTCCGTCGCTTACAGCACCTGGCACCGTTAACGACACTTTAGTACACTTCATAGTCCTGCATATTTCGCATTTCAATAACCGCAAGTTCCATAAGTAAAGAGACAGGTTGAAGTGCAAGGCTAAGGAACGCGCTGAAGAAGATTCGAGACTCACGCTCCAGAGGAGAAAGAAGCTGGTGACGACAGAAGATCATTTCAAATTTCGTTTTGAGACTAAAACTAGAGACTAAAAAAAAAAAATCTTCCGGTGCACAGCCATATCTCACTGTCTTCATAACTCATCCTGTTATTTTTAGATGCACGAAGGAACGAAGGCTGAATGATAAGATGTGCTGAACGTGTTGATGTCGCGTTGATTTAAAGACAGCGCAAATGAACGAGAACGTGGTATATTGTATGGAACGCTGACTTAACCGAAGGATCATACTGAATTATCATCAAAATGATTACAGTTGGCGCTACGCCTACGCCACTGACATTAAAGATCACGGTTGTCCCACTAATTTGCATCGCATGAAATTCCCGGGGATGAGTCAGCCAATTACACTTGATGATCGCGCATGTAAGTTTCATTACACTGTGGCCGATTTACAGTTACAGTCTAACAACCGAACGTAACATCGCAAGAAGACGCGCGCGCGCCGAATTTTTATGGTCTCATTTGCCTCACGAAATCACGACGCCAATCGGGGAGGTCCTTAAGCAGCTCAGTTATAACGAGAATTTGTCATCGTGTGAAACTTTCTGACGGAGAGAATTTAAATCGGCACATTAGACGGCAGACAGGAAGAAAATGTAATTTAAAATCGATAAAACGTCCCTCATTTGATATGCGACGTTCATTATAAAATAATTTTCTACTCTTGCTAGATAATATATCGCTGTATCTTGCAGCTCGAGTGGTTACCAGCTAGCACCAGCCGGCTTCCCTTGAGAAGCATATTTCGGGATACGTTTCACTTTGCAGATAAACGCTACGGGAAGCTGCAGGATGTCTCTCGAACTAAGAGTAGAGACTTTTGATCGACAGATTGTGCTGAAATTAGAACAGAATAATTTTCTGTTCTAACGACATAATGAATATACTACAGACTAATAAAGAGTTCGTTTGATTCTTATCATATCAAAATACCATACGGATTAATTCTGACCCGACTAACCCGAGTCGTTCATTTAATACCCATTTCCTTTGACTTACGAGACGGGCGATGCATGCCTGCATGTCGCTTCGTTTTCATTGTTTCCAATCGAAATTACCACGACGGCCACGACGGTAAAACCGTTTCCATATTAGGCGCAGCGTATTTCCTTTCCTAAGAGACGACACTACACGTCGTCGGCGCATATACGCGCGGCACATTTTGCAAAACCGGTTTCCGGAATTCCATAAGAGATCTGAAGTGCGCACGAGCGCACGCGGGAGCGCTCGTAAAAATCGTCATTTTGTTTCCCGCCGTATTTGCGCCGCGCCGCGGGCGAGCTCGGCTCGGCGGTACAATTAGGAACTGTTAACGTTTCGATATTTAACTAACGACAAACGTCGCGGAGATTACGATTTCACAAATTGCAAATTCGCGCCGGCG